CTAGTATTCTGACCCATGGAATCACTCAAGTTATTTTGAAGTAACAGAACACAATTGTGAGTGAGTTGCTAAATCTGATTTGCAGCCTGTGGGAATTAACACATGAGGCACTTTGAATTTGTTACTGCTTTTCAGCAGTGACCCCCACATGTGCATATTTGTCTGTAAATATACATGCACGCACGGAAATGAAACGAAACCTTGTACAGTGTGCTCCGGTATTTTCAGTATTGCTTTCTTTTTTTTTTCCTTCCTCTCTTAACTTCTTACTTTCTCTTTCCTGCCCCCTTTTCTTCCTGTACTGAACATGACCCACCAAATCCATTTCCTCATCTTCTAATCCACAATTCAAAATGCACTGCATTTAGTACAGACTTGCAACCATTTCATCCAGCAGGGAGCTGGATGGGAAGTGGAGCAGCTGGGGCACAAATTGGCACTCATGGGATCCTGGTGCTTGGGCGATAGATTAGCTATTTGAGCCATTGTGCTGGGCCCTTTGCATAGTTTTTTCATAACACTCATTTTCCAATAACTTTTTGAAGATTCCTATACAAACCAGCCCTGAAGGGAGTGTGGGTTTGTTCCCTGGGAGAACTAAAACACTCAGCTGGCTGTTGTACCCTACATAGCTGTTGTCAATGGAGACTTGGAGAAAAGGTGGCTTTCCCTAAGGCGAGCATGGCTGTTCTGTCATCCACAGGACATGGCACAGGACGCAGCTCCTGACCACTTGAGCTGCAAGCTGTGCTGGTTCTGTGACTCCAAGTTTTCCATGTTTCTGTGGCCTCGTTGACAGTGTCTGACAGGGGTCCTCCTACTTGTGGTGCCATTTCAGGCTGAGCCTTTTTCTTTTTTCTTTTTTCTTTCTTTCTTTCTTTTTTTTTTTTTTTATAGAATTAACAGATGTTCCATCTGTTGATTCATTCCCCAAATGGCCACAGCCACCAGCACTGGTCCAGGGCAAACCAGAAGCTAGTAACTCCATGGGGACCCAAGGACTTGTGCCTTCTCCTGCTGCCTTGCAGGCATGTTAGCAGGGAGCTCGATGACACGAGGGGCAGCCAGGATTTGAGCTGGGTCTCTGTGGGATGCAAGTGTTACAACTAGTGAATTACCCCACTGCTTCACAACATGGACCCTCTGCCTTACAAAACTTTCTAAATTGATGTTTTTTAAAAGGGAGCACTCCTGGACCTGGCAGAGTAGCCTAGTGGCTAAAGTGCTTATCTTGCACATGCCAGGATCCCATGTGGGCACCAATTCGTGTCCTGTAGCTCCACTTCCCATCCAGCTCCCTGCCTGTGGCCTAGGAAAGCAGTCGAGGAGGGCCCTAAGCCTCGGAATCCTGCATCTGCGTGGAAGACCTGGAAGAAGGTCCTGGCTCCTGGCTTTGGATTGGCTTGGCACCAGTCATTGCAGCCACTTGGGGAGTGAACCAGAGGAGGGAAGATCTTCCTCTCGGTCCCTGTCTCTGTAAATCTGATTTTCCAATTAAAAAAAAAAAAGATTAGCACTCCCATGTGCTGATTCATTCCCCAAATGCCTATAGTGACTTGTGGCTTGGCTTGGCCAAGGGCCAAAGGCAGGAATTGAGAACACAAGCTAGGTCTTCTGTGTGGGTGGCAGGAACTCAGTGACTTGACCTTTCATTTCCTGCTCCAGGGTGCAGTTGGAAGCTGGTGGAAGTCAAAAGCCAAAAAGCCAGGCTGTCCAGCAGGAAACCTGTGTGTCTTACCTGATGGCCTAAGTGCACACCCTGCAAATGTTGCCTGTAGAGAGTGCCTTTTGTTTCAGGAGAACCATCCTCCTGCCCCATTTGGTTTCGATGTTAGGTGATCAACTGAAGTCTTTCTTGTGACACTGATGTGTGTGGGTGAAATCAGCAGAGCTGGCACTGTCTTTGCCACGTGGGGAGGACCCGCAGCACCTGTGGGCTCATTAGACACGCAGCCCCAGGGCTCAGAGTCTGCACTGTAACAAGACCCCAGTGGCTCAGTGCCTCACTGAGTTTAAACAGCTTTATCTCCAGGTGTGGAAAGAACATTCTAGAGGAGGCACTTTGTTCTTCTTGTCCATTCTCCAGTTGCCCGAGGCAGGTCATGCTGGTGGCAGCAGTGGACTCTGTACTCTGCCTGCTCCCCTGACACCCACCGGCTTTCACTAATTAGCCTGTCTGCTTAATTAAACCCTCGAGTTCACATTCCAGCGAGTTTCCTGGGTCAGATTCTGCATCTGCCTGGAACAGGCTGAAGGGGTTCTGAGTGAAATGCAGTGAGCAGGGTCGGCAGGGTGCCGTTGGATGTGTTTTGACATCTGTATGCAGCATGCCAGTGAAAGCAGCATCAAGATCATGCTCATCCCCATCCTAGCCATTACCCACCTATGCAGGTCCATCTGAATCCGCCCTGCCCCTGGGGCAGCCACGCCTCTGCTTTCTGTCACTGTTGCTGAGGCTGTCTCTCCGGACTCTGATGGAACCAGAAGCATTCAGCATGGCTTGCTTTGTTCACCCAGCTTCTCCCACTCAGCAGTGACTCTTGAGCTCTGTCACAAGAGCCTTGGGTACCACTGATGGCTCCTTTCTTGTTAATGCCAAGTGTTAGCACACTGGGCGAGTGTCTTACAATGTGCTTCCAACGTGGCCTGTGTCCCCCTGGTTCTTGGCTGTTTTACAAATGCAGCTGTCATGAACATTAGCCCATGTGGACCTCTGCCTTCTGTGCTTGGTCGGTGAATAACTAGCGAGGCATGGAATGCCTAGGATCCACATGTGCCTGCCCTTGTAGGAGCTGCCCAGGGTTTGCCCACCAAACAGGGTGGGCTGGCTGCAATCCCGCCATCATCACTAGCGCTGGGCATCTTTTTTGATCGTAGCCCATCTTAGTGTGGGTGTACGACATCTCACTGTGGTTTTCATTTCTATGTTGTTAATGAGCATCTTTTGGTATGCTTGTTTGTGTTTGTCTTATTTGAAGTGCCTGTTGGAATCACTAATTATTGTATGTCATTGTTAGTTTCAGTGTTTCCTTGAATTAAATTCTCTGTCAAATACTCCTAGTTGATTTACAAATACTTTCTTGCAGTCTGGGTTTAACAGATTTTTTTCCCTGATTTTTTTTTTTTCTAGACTAACTAGAATTTCAAGTTTTATATTTAGGTCGGTGTTCCAATTGAATAGATGTCTGTATAATGCTGTTAGGTTTGGAGTTAAACACACACACACACACATACATATATGGATAAATATATATTAAATAAACATGTAACTATATAATAAATAAATAAATGTATATTAAAATAAAATATATTTTATTCCAATACATATTGGAATATCCAGGTGTTCAGAATGTTGATTTATTGAAGACTATCCTTTCTCAAGTGAGAATCCCTTGTTTGTATAAGATAGATTTTCTTCTTAAGATTTAGTGTTTATTTGGTCCTTGAGAGACAGAGCACCCATGTACTGGTTTACTTGTCAAATGCCTGCAATACCCAGGGCTAGGGTAGGCAGAAGCCAGAAACTCGATGCAGGGAATGACAGGAACTGTCACCTGACCACCACCTACTGCCTCCCAGGGTATACACACGCAGGAAGCTGGACCAGGAAAAGAAGCAGGACTCAGACCTGGGCAGTCCAGCGTGGGATGTGGGTGTGCCAGCGGCAGTTAACTGCTGCCCCCAACACCTGCCCCCTTGTGTTCTCAGTAGTCTGTTGAGTTCTGGGTGGTGAGCTGGGTCCTTGACAGAGGCTGAGAGGGCCGGGTGCCACTGCCAGTGCTGTGTCACAGCATGGCTCTGATGTAAATCTCTTCGGACACTTAAGCTTGGCAATGGATAAAAACCGCTGAGGGAAAGAGTGAGAAGTCCGGATTGTCAGATGGTGATGCATAAACATATTACTAGTGGTAATAGTGCACTAGTAGTAGTAGCGGTAGAAATCATCATAGTGTATTTGTTGTATTTACTGGGAAGGAGTCACATTGAGAGACAAAGAAAACACTCCTATATCTGTTGGTTAATTCATTCATTCAGAGTTTCCACAGCATGTGGGTCTAGGTTTGGCTAAAGCCAGGGGGCAGACCCTAACCCAGGTCTCTTCCATGGGTGGTGGGACTGGAGCATCTGAAGCATCACCTGCCACTTTCCAGAACGAGTCTTAACTGGAAGCTGGAGCCAACAGCTATGTCCCAAACCCAGACAGGCAACACCAGCAGTGTCCTCGTCACTCTGCCAGACACCTGTCTGACTCTTGGGGATCCTTGAAGAATCCATTGAGCTTGTCCTCTGAGAAGAGGCTTGTCACATGTGCCATCCTTGGGCAAATTAAGAAAATCGTCCCTGGATGAGGCTGCTGGGAGCCCGGCCAGGTAGCCCTTAGCCCATCCACTTCCAGACTTTTACGGCTTTTATGGAGTTGAGTGCCTCAGTCCACCAGGGCTCCCCCTGCTTCCTCTCAAAGTTCTACCAGCAAGGGTTGCTAGAACTGGAGACCAAGACCCGGGCCCGCCTCTGTTGACTGATCGGTTGGCAGTAGCTGCCCCCTCAGAGCCGGCACTGTGTGCCTCAGAAGAGCCTGCAGGCCAAAAGACACTCAGCTGCCGCATCTGCTGTCCTTGGCTGAGGGCAGACAGAGGCCTGGGTCCATCAGGTGACCCACCCTGCGGCCAGGCAACCTTGGGAACCCCTGCATTGCTGTGGGCTCCCCACCAGTTTGGCCTGCGTTTTTGCTCAGTCTCATGCCCTGCCCTATAGATGTAGAGTCTGGCACAGGTACCCCAGAGAAGCGGGTAGAACAAGTGGGCATGCCTTAGGTGCGTTCCCGCTGGTTGGGTAGGCTGAGGGACTTTCTCACATGCTTCTGAGGGTACCTGGAGCTGCCCTGTGTGTGTGTGTGTTTCTAAGAGACAGATACACACACATACACACGCAGATTCATATCTGGTGTGGTTGATAAGAGCTCATGCCTAACACTCTGGGAATCACCTTCTGTCTTGCAGGGGCTCCTCGTGGGCATGCGGAACCGGGAGAACAGCTCGCCCTGCCAGGGCAATGGAGAGCAGGCTGTCAGGGGCAGGAGCCTGGGTGCAGCATGGCCAGGTGAGGAGGAGCCCGGCCATGATGCCACCGCCCCTTCGTACAAGAAACCCCTGTACAGCATCTCACACAAGATCCTAGAGAAGAAGAACCCCCCGGCGGGGGACCTGCTCAGCACCTATGAGCTCTTGGAGAAGGCGAATGCTGGCAACAGTCCCTCCCCGCTGCGGCTCTTGGGCGAGTCCCAGAAGCGGGACTGCAGTGGGGTGGCCAGCGATGCAGACTCCAACGTCTACTTCCTCATCCAGAAGATGTTCTATATGCTCAACACTATCTCCTCCAACATGTCGCAGCTGCACAGCAAGGTGGATCTGCTCTCCTTGGAGGTGAGCCGCATCAAGAAGCAGGTGAGTCCCTCGGAATTTGTGGCCAAGTTCCAGCCGCCCCCAGAGTACCAGCTCACGGCGGCCGAGCTCAAGCAGCTGGCAGACCAGAGCCTATCCGGGGGTGACCTGGCCTGCCGCCTGCTGGTGCAGCTTTTCCCGGAGCTCTTCAGTGATGTGGACTTCTCACGCGGCTGCACTGCCTGTGGTTTCGCCGCCAAGCGCAAGCTTGAGTCACTGCACCTGCAGCTCATCCGTAACTACGTGGAGGTCTACTACCCCTCAGTGAAGGACACCACCGTGTGGCAGGCCGAGTGCCTGCCGCAGCTGAACGACTTCTTCAGCCGCTTCTGGGCCCAGCGGGAGATGGAGGACAGCCAGCCGGGTGGCCAGGTGCCTGGCTTCTTTGAGTCCGAGCAGGTGGAGGCCAGCCACTTCTTGGATGGCAAGGACCAGGAGGAGGCCTTGTCCTTGGACAGGAGCAGCACCGTCGCCTCGGACCATGTTGTGGACACGCAGGACCTCACTGAGTTCCTGGATGAGGCCTCATCGCCCGGTGAGTTTGCCGTCTTCCTCCTCCACCGGCTCTTCCCCGAGCTCTTTGACCACCGCAAGCTGGGCGAGCAGTTCAGCTGCTACGGCGAGGGAGGCAAGCAGGAGCTTGACCCGCAGCGGCTGCAGATCATCCGCAACTACACAGAGATCTATTTCCCCGACATGCAGGAAGAGGAGGCATGGCTGCAGCAGTGCGCACAGCGCATCAACGATGAGCTTGAGGGCCTGGGGCTGGACGGTGGCAGTGAGGGTGAGGCCCCGCGCGATGACTGCTATGACTCCTCCAGCCTGCCTGACGACATATCTGTGGTCAAGGTAGAGGATGGCTTCGAGGGCGAGCGCCCTGGCCGGCGCTCCAAGAAGATCTGGCTAGTGCCCATCGACTTCGACAAGCTAGAGATCCCGCAGCCTGACTTTGAGCTGCCTGGTGCCGACTGTCTACTGAGCAAGGAGCAGCTGCGCAGCATCTATGAGAGCAGCCTGTCCATAGGCAACTTCGCCTCCCGCCTGCTGGTGCACCTGTTCCCTGAACTCTTCACCCACGAGAACCTGCGCAAGCAGTACAACTGCAGCGGGTCGCTGGGCAAGAAGCAGCTGGATCCATCGCGCATCAAGCTGATCCGCCACTATGTGCAGTTACTCTACCCCCGGGCCAAGAATGACCGTGTCTGGACCCTGGAGTTTGTGGGCAAACTGGATGAGCGCTGCCGGCGCCGGGACACGGAGCAGAGGCGCTCCTACCAGCAGCAGCGCAAGGTACACGTGCCAGGCCCCGAGTGCAGGGACCTGGCGAGCTATGCAATCAACCCCGAGAGGTTCCGCGAGGAGTTTGAGGGGCCCCCGCTGCCCCCAGAGAGGAGCAGCAAGGACTTCTGCAAGATCCCCTTGGATGAGCTGGTGGTCCCATCCCCCGACTTCCCGGTGCCTTCCTTATACCTGCTGTCGGACAAGGAGGTGCGTGAGATTGTGCAGCAGAGCCTGTCAGTGGGCAACTTCGCTGCCCGCCTCCTGGTCAGGCTCTTCCCCGAACTCTTCACTGCTGAGAACCTGCGGCTGCAGTACAACCACTCTGGGGCCTGCAACAAGAAGCAGCTGGACCCGACACGCCTGCGGCTCATCCGCCACTATGTGGAAGCCGTGTACCCGGTAGATAAGATGGAGGAGGTGTGGCACTATGAATGTATCCCCAGCATCGACGAGCGGTGTCGACGGCCCAACAGGAAAAAGTGTGACATTCTCAAGAAAGCCAAGAAAGTGGAGAAGTGACAGGCCGGCTGTTCCCCCCCGCCCCAGGTCCCCTGCCTGGACGTGGGTTGGCTGCAGGCCAGGCACGCCCTGGGCACATCGGATACCGCGTGGCAACCGTGGTTGGCGCCTGTGTCATGGCCGTGGCTCCTGCATTTGCACACGCGAACCCCCGCCCAGCCTAGGGAAAGAAGCCTTGAATTTTGTCTTTGGTACTCGCAACTTGTGCCCTGTGTTTCCCAAGTGGTGCAGCCGAGGTTGGGGTGTAGGGGGAGCCAGGCCATGGAAGCAGAGGGGCTTCAGGAATGGGGTCCTCCCTTCCTGCCTCTGCCCTCCTGCCCCTTACCCTTCAAGATCCTCTTCCTCACCCACCTTTTTTTAATTAAACAAATTTTTTTTTAAACAAATTATTGGGCTCTTTGGGGGCCAACAAATCTTTTTAAATATTTGAGATGAAGTACTGTAAATTGATTCAGTTACTGAGATTTTTTTTTTTTCTTCTTTGAGATGGTTTTAGATTTATGAAATGTTGAGACAAGTGCCATGTTCTGTTTGGTGGCCGGGCCCAGCGCTGGGCAGCTGGAGGGACCCGGCTCTCCTGACCTCAGCTTTCCTACACGTGGGCTTGGCAGAGGGAAGTTCTGGCTGCCCCCCTGGGCTGTGCTGCGCTGCCAGTTTCCAGGGCCACATTCAGGTCAGGATGGTAAGCCCATTCTCTGTAGGCGACAACACTGGATGCCGACGCGGATGCTGACGCTGACATGAATGTAGATAGCCGTGGAGGCCTCCCAGGGCCCCACGCCCCCGCCCCCAGTTCCTCTCCCCCTGCCCATGCTGGTTGGTGGGCCAGACGGTGTGTCCTTGAAGTGGGGCATTGGGCTTCCTGTTTGGTTTAAGGGTTGGGCCTCTGTGGGCTCCCTGGAACTGTTTACTCTGCCTCTGTGTGTGTGTGTGTGTGTGTGTGTGTGTGCGCGCGCGTGCGCGCGCGTGTGTGCATGTGTCTGTGTGTACCAGATCCGGGTCTGGGAGCCAGAGTCGGCTTTCCCAGACTCCGGCATCAGCCCCACCCACACACCTACCACCCACCTGGTGCAGCTGCACAGCCTGGTTCCTCAGGGCGGGCCCTGGGCTGGGGCCCCCATGTCCCTCTCCATGGGCCTCTCAGAACTGTCCAGGCCCTGCTGTCCCCTCCCCCAGACCCAGCTCCTGGCACCTGGTCCCTGCTGCCTGACTGGGCGGGTTACACAGCACCCAGTTGTGGTGGAGCCGGAACTGATTGATTCTATTGTCCCCGAAACAACGGAACGTGACTTAGACCACACAAGGTAGTCACGAGTTCCTTGTGGCAGGTTGCAGATCTAATAACTGTGGCTTGACATTTTGCCACTTTGAAATCAGCAGGAATACTCGGAGTAGCCTGTGAGTTTCCCTCATTACACCTGACGAAGGACCGCATGCCACTGACTGCGGGACATGTTGCTGCCCTCCTGCAGCAGGCGTTTTTCTTCTGTGGCCCAGGGTTTGGGAACCAAGGTTTTGCTTGTAAACGTCACTGCAGGTTGTTCCTGTTGAAGTTGCAAGCCCAGGTTATTGCAATTTGGAGATGCACACGGACGGACTGACTGTCATGCTCCCCCGGTGTCCCCATGCCCCATGCACACTCCTTGCTGGAGCTATCGGGGACCCATACAGATAGATAATGAATTCATCCCTTTTTTGTGCCTGGAAAGAAGGACCCGGAGCAGCCTGGAGACTCACCCTCTGTCCCCCTCCGCCACTGCCTCTGATTTGGGCCTTTATGCCTTAGCTTCCCCAACGCACAGATGTGCACACACGCGCACACCCTACCCAAAGACAGCTGCAGCTCCCTGCCGCCAGCCCCCACTGGTTGCTGGCTAACCTGCTTCCACAGGATTCCAAGCCATGTGAGCACTGCCCCGCTCTTCTGTTCAGGGCAGATTTGACCCTGCAGCCTCAGAAGCACACTCTGATTTGTCACCTGCACAGGCTCCCCAGGTCACCCCAAGTCCAGGGAGCAACCGTTGCTAGGAAGTGAGTGTGTCTCTAACTTAATGCGTGCATCCTGGGTTCTGGCGACTTCCTTAAGACCGTCACCACCCCGGACCCCAAACCCCCCCCCCCCGGCTCCCACCCTTGTCCTTTTCTGTGGCCTCAGATAGCCTGTGGGGTACCCAGGGCTTTTTGTTTCACAGGAAGCAATAGAGGTACACAGTGTTCTGTTGGACTCTAACACACTCTGGAATGTGTGGGCAGCCCCAATCCTTGTCCACATCTGAATCTTTGCTTTTTAATTGTTTTGAATGTGTGTCTGCCTGGTTATCTGGAGGGCTCGAGAATTGAGCACAGGAGTGCTGTGACGATGGGTAGCAGGTGGCAGTCCTGCTTTCCAAATGTGTGAAGACAGTGGTGAGTGAGCCCGGTGTCCAAAGCCTGCTTCCCCTTGCTGTGACTGTGTTTTTCTCCGGACAGCGAGCTCTTGCTTGCCAGGAGGGTCAGGTTGTGCCCACTGTCCTGCGCTCCTGTGTGTCTCACCTCTGGGGTGCTGGCCCCAAACTTCAAGTCCTGAGAGGGGTGGCTGCAGCCTCAGCAAGCATCAAGCAGCTGATAGGCTCCATGCTGTGGGGGAACCCTCGCCGCTGCCCTGAACTCCCCACAGCACAGCATGTGGGTCCTGTTGCGATGGCCTTCATTCCCACCTCCTCCTCCCCAAACTCCCCTCCTGTTCCTGCTCCCAGGTTTGCTTCTCACCCAGCTGAGAGGGGACCTCGAAACTCCTGAATGGGGGGCCACATTGCTGTCCCCCTGCCCAGCTGTGTAAGATGGACATTGCCGTGGGGCCTGGGGCGGGCTGCTCCTGCTCCCGGGAAATCCCTGCCTCTTGTAGATCCAGCCTTAATCTTCTCCTGACACCCTAGTACTAGCAGATCCTGCACAAAGTGGATATCAGAGTTACTACTGTGAGGAGACAAAACCATGAGAATAGTTTTACCAAAGATAATGAAATACCACGTTAAAGTCTGCATTTTACCATTGAGTTGAGTACATCCTTAGAAAACTGAATGTAACAAACAACCCAGGACATTTTTTTGGAAATTGTATGCTTCTAGCAACTTTGTGTGAATTTTTATACAAGCACTGTTTTATGAGCTCTATAAAATGTTATAAAAATGGAAAACACCTGGTCTCACTCTGTCTTATTTTGTCAGAGCGCCGGCCTTTTGAAAGGCAGCTTCAGTCTGGCCTGTCTCACCCCCTCCCTGGGGAGGAGTTTGTGGTCTCCCCAGGTGTGTGGGCAGGGTGGGGCACAAGTCAGGAACCGGGAAGGTGCCCTGTTGGTCTTCCCAGCTTGTTTCTACACGCAGCTTCCTGTCCATGTGGTGGGAAGCTTTCCCAGCTTCGCTTCTTTCTAATTGGACCAGTGTGCTGTAGTTCCTCAGAGTTGACGCATGATGAGCTGAGAGCAAGATGCAGGTCTTCCCTCTCCCTATGGCTAGGTCAGATCAGTAACCTGCAGAAAACCATGTCTCAAGCCATCAGAGAGTATTTTGACTCGGGGATTGGATGCAAGTTGTGGTTCATGGAGCCTTTTTCCTACAGTGTTTACTGCCTTTTTTTTTTAAATTTATTTTTATTGGAAAACCAGATATATAGAGAGGAAGAGAGAGAGGGGGGAAGATTTTCTGTCCATTGATCGACTCTCCAAGTGGCTGCAACAGCTGGAGCTGACCAATCCAAAACCAGGAGCCCGGAACCTCTTCCAGGTCTCCCATGCAGGTATGCAGGGTCCCCAAGCTTTGGGCCATCCTTGACTGCCTTCCCAGGCCATCAGCAAGGATCAGAATGGGAAACAGGGCTGCCAGGATTAGAACCAGCGCCCATATGGGAGCCTGGTGCGTAAAAGGTGAGGACTTTAGTTACTAAGCTACTGTGTTGGGTCCTTCTGCTTTGTTTTTAAGATGTATTTATTATATTTATTTGTTTTGAATGTCAAGAGTTAGAGAAGGGTGGGGTGGGAAGGTAGAAGTTTTCCATTGGCTGATTACTCCCCCAGATGGCCAAAAAACCGGGACTGGCCCCGGCTAAAGCCATAAGTCAGGAGCTTTATCCAGGTCTTCCACGTGGTTGCTGGGATCCAACACTTTGGCCATTCTCCACCACTTTTCCCAGGCCATTAACGGAGCTGGATTGGAAGTGGAACAGCTGGGATGCAAACCAGTGCTCCTAATAAAGGATGTCAGATTTGGCAAATGGCAGCTTTACCCACTCACAACACAGTGCTGGCCCCTATTTCAGATTTATTTGAGAGAATTCTCATCTTCTGGTTTACTTTCTAAATGCCCATAGCAATCAGGAGTCAGCTGGGTAGAAGCCAGAAACTCCCTGCAGGTCTCCCGTGTGACAGGAACCCAGTCAGTTGACCATCACCTGCTGCCTCCCAGGGTATACACATGCAGGAAGCTGGAATAGGAAAAGGAAACTGGACTCAACTAGGCAGTCCAAATTGGGATGTGGGCATGCCAGCGGCAGCTAACTGTTTCCCCCAACACCGGCCCCTGTGTGTTCTCAGTAGTAGTTTTTGTGTCCTGGTTGAACAGCTGGGTCCTTGGCAGAGGTTGAGCATGCCAGGTGCCATGCCCATGCCAGGGTGGCAGCGCCTGCAATGTGGCGGCCGGAATGCCAAGTGGCCATGGAGTTTTGTGACCCGGGACCGGTGGCAGGTGTAGAGGGTCGGGGAAGTGCTTGAAACTGGACAAATGATTTCAACTACACAGAAACCCATGTTAGAGTTGAGGTTTTGATTGATCCTTTCAGAGATTGTTGCGTGACTTGAGTGTGGCTGGCAGAGCTGGGCTGGGTTGGTTCCCGTCTGTGCATTTTTTAAAAAATTTTTATTGGAAGGGCATATTTATTGAGAGGGAAGGATACTCTATCTGCTGGTTTATTACCCAAATGGCCACAGTGACTGTGAGCTGAGCTAATTCAAAGCCAGGAGCCTAGAGCCTGTTCTGGGTCTCCCATGCAGGTGCAGGGTCCCAAGGCTTTGAACATCCTCTGCTGCTTTCCCAAGGCCACAAACAGGGAGCTGGATGGGAAGTGGAGCAGCTAGGTCACGAACTGGCACCCCCATATGGGATCCTGACACCTGTAAGTGGAAATTAGTCAACTGAGCCATTGCGTTGGGCCCTTTTAAACTCGTTTCTTAGGGAGCTGTGGGTGGAAGAAGCTCTCCATCCTGCCTGGTGCTTGCTGTGATTTAACTTGGGGTTTTGCTGACTGTTGCTGGTTTTCTGAGTCTGCCCTAGGAAGATAGTGTTTGAGCCAGGAAACCTTTCAATGCCACTGATGAGAAAAGGGGGGGGCGGGGCCCCACCACCACCAGGAATTCAGTAATGCTAGTCTACCTCTAAGGAGGCCCATTCATTCAGTAGAATGATTCACATCTCTGCCAGCCCCAGCTCCAGGAACTTAACAAGTCCCAACCCCACAGTGGGCAGTGAAGAGGCCTGTCTGACCTTGAGGGAGAAAGTTGGGGTGGTAAGACAGCTCTTGCTCTTGCCTGAAGCTGATTTTCAAGATGGGGGGGTGGGTGTAACCACACTGGGGCTTTCCGCTCTCCCTCCCGCAGGCAAATGCTGAGGCTACTGCTGCTAGCCTCAGGCACAGCCCCAGGACAGCAGAGCTTGAATGCTGCTTCCTCCAGCAGGGAGCTGGGGGCTGGGGGCCTGCAGCTCCTGGGTTTTGACAGCTGCAAGCTTGGCCTGGGCCCACAAAGCAGGTAAAGTGCTCTGTGGGGATGGATGACTTCTCTCCAGGTAGTTGACCCTAGTTGTGGTGGATGAATCCCAAGAGCTGCTATTTGTCTATTCCCTTGGCAGAATCTAGGAAAGATTCTCCTTGCATTTCCATGAGATTCCAGGATTGAGCATGTCCGGTGCTGACCTCTGCACAGAAAATGCCCTTTGGGGACATGTGTTCCCTCACCCCCACTTGTCACTGGGCCTTCCCTGGGGAGTCTCATAGGATCTGAGAATCTGTTCCTAGGACAAGATCCCTGGGGTGCAGCTGGCATCTCCAGAGTGGAATTGAGACGGGCCTTCGGACCTGTCTCAGGAGGGATCACTCCACTTCACACACGTATACCCATACTGTTAACCAATGATGATGAGTAAAACAAAAACTTAAAAAATATGTTTTTATTGGAAAGTCAGATATATAGAGAGGAGGAGAGACAGAAAGATCTTCCATCCACTGATTCACTCCCCAAGTGGCTGCAACGGCCGGAGCTGAGCCAATCCGAAGCCAGGAGCCCGGAGCCCCTTCTGTCTCCCACGTGGGTGCAGTTTGGACCAACCTCGATTGCTTTCCCAGGCCACAGGCAGGGAGCTGGATGGGAAGCAGGACCACCAGGATTAGAACTGGTACCCATATGGGATCCTGGCATATGCAAGGTAAGGACTTTAGCCACTAGGCTACTACACCAAGCCCATAAAAAACGTTTAAAACAAGCAAGGGCAAGGACCAGCCAGTGTGCTTTTGAGAGGATGAATGAAGTGGAAGCAGCATCTAATTTCCGGGCCCTATGGGAAAGTCCAAGTAGTAGATGGGTGGTGGTAGCTGCTGGAAGAAGGCAAGGAGGGCTTGCCTGTGGCAGGAAGTCAGGAAGGGTATAGGTGTATGATTTCCCTACTGCCTGCAGTATGCGGGCCACGTGGAGGAAGCAGGATGATGCCAGGGGCTAAGCAAGGCACTTCTGGGTGAGTGCTGGGAAGGCTGCAGGGCCGGGAGCCATCAGGAGGCTCCTTGGGGTGGGAGGAGCCTGCCAGGTGTCCCTGGGGGACATAAGCAGAATGTAGCAGATGCACACTGAAGCAGTGGATCAGATGGATGGGCAGTCCCATGGACGCATGGATCCAAGCCTATGCCGGTGAGGGACAATGGAATACAGAACAATGCTTTGACAGTTCCAAATCTACTTCTGTGCACAGAGGTATATACTCAAAGATCCCCTGTGAAACACGCTAGAATGGCTGGTAGAGTAGGTGAGATGTGCAGAAATACCTACCAATGGGAAAGGCAGAGAATTGTATCTGCAGGGGGGGTTGGGTACCTGGTCCACAGGGGGGTGGGCGTGGTATGTGTGTTGAGATTGGTAAATATCTAATAGCTGCTTCTCCAAGGGTACGGAAGAAACCCTGCTTCGTGGAGTGTGCCAGGCTGGTGGGCACAGTCTTGTGGACTGGAGGAGTCTGCTCTTGTGTCCATCCTCCTCCATGCTCTGGAGGTCTCCAGGAGATGGTGGATCGGTAAGTTTCCAAAAGCAATCGTTTGAAACCAAAGTGTAAGGGAGAACTTTAGGGGAGTGTCATTTCATTTGCCTGACACTGTGCACCCTTTAAGTTGTTAGTTATTTGAAAGAGACAAACAGAAGACTCCTAACTGCTGGTCTGCTTCCCAGAAGCTGCCAGAGCTGGGTCCGGCCAAGCTGACGTCAGGTGCCTAAAGCCCCAGCCTGCTCTCCCATGTGGCACACCCTTTATGAAGGTTATGAAGCATTTCCCATGGTGCTAACTCAAATCTTTCTTCTACTTTCTTGAAAAGCAGCAATTATTCTCCTGACTCCCGATTTCTCCCCCTAATTTGTATTTATTTATTTTATTTGAGAGCATTTTCCATCTAGTGGTTCACTCTGCAATGTCCACAACAGCCAGAGCGGCTTCCGGCCAAAGCCAGGAGCCAAGAACTCGTTCCAGCGGCAGGGACCCAGTGGTTCCCTATTATCACTCAAATAAACCATGACTTGAGAAGAATCTCCCAAATGCTAAAAGGGTGGTCCAGCTATTGCCTACCCAGACTCGTAAATCTCCGGGAATGCAAGTTCTATTTGGCAAGAAAATGGGATTGATGGGATGTTTTTGTGGGGACATGCTTCTTTCAGACAGACTACCTGGACATTCCAGGACGTTCAGCATTAGGCCTGGTCTCTACCCACAGGATGCCCACTGTGTCCCCTCCATCATGCCCATCCAGAATGTTCAGTCATTCCCCAGGCGTCCCCAGGGATGCAGGCAGCCCCTCTCCCCAACTGGGAACCATGGCCACAGGGCATGTCCAGCAGTTTTCTTCAATCCTGTCAGATGTGAGAATGCCTTGGCAGGCACTGTCAGGGTCCCGTAATGCATGAGTTGCAAGAGCTCAATGCCCTTTATGGATTGCTTTATGTTTTTGCTTCTTACCCATGATCCACAGACCCTGCTCTGTACCCAACTGGGAGAGATTAGTATTCGCCCCCTACCATGACCAAACCCTCACTTTCTGTTGTCAAGTGTTTTTTTGCTTTTTAAAAACCTTGGGTTTGGAATGGGTCACACCCTGCTAGGCAGCTGAGTGCCAGTTACCAGGGGCAGACTGTATTCTAGGGCTGCTGTCCCTTCAGCTGGCCTCATACAACACGGCAGGGTTCTTTCTCCTCAGAGACCCCACTTGGATGATGTATCAACATCCTGATCCCCGTTCAGCCAGAGTGGAAACTGGGGTCCAGAGGAGTTCAGGAGGTTGCAGTCCCAGGAATTACTGGAGGATAAGCATGAGCCCAGTGATAGCCTGTCCCTTCAAGCCAAGCCCATCTCCCTGAGTAGCCCCTTGCCAGCCCTGGGAAATGACTCCTGGGATTGTACCTGCTCCCGCAGACGCCCCTTGCTGAGGCCTGTGTGCTCCACCGATAACTCCTCTATTCCTAGGGTAGTAGGTTTGGTCGGCTGGATTTTGTATTCTCATTGAGAAGATCTGTGTGATTCCTGCTTTCACCTGAAAACTAACCCTTCAACTATTACCTTGAACTACAGGTCATTAAATTTGGTCTGTAAAAACTCAGTACATATTTTAGGTCTCTGTCATATGGGTTTTGTTGTTGTTGTTTGCTTGTTTTAATGCTTTAAAAATGCAAGAATCACTCTTAGTTCAAAAATCACCCCAACACCAAGCCTCTGGCTGCCTAAGCTGAGTGGCCTGTGCTCCAAGCAGACAACTGCTAGTGGGTTCCACTTGCCCTTTGGGTCCAGCTGGAACCCATCTCACACACCCCAACTCGTGCTGACAGAGCAAAGGGACGAAGGCCGACATGCTGGCACTTCACAGGGAGGGTGGAGAAAGGGCTCCCCCAACGCATCTGGCCCAGTGGTCTGAGGGGTGACGCTGACTTTGGCTTTGCTCTACACAGCCTGAACCTGGAGGAAGTTGGCCCCTAGAGAAGGTCCAAACCCTAAGCCACCAGGAGGCTAGTTTTCTTTGTGGTGACTTGTAAGGTGGTTGATGTGTACCCAATCAGTGACCCTCCCTGGGATGCATTCATCTGGGACGTAGAGGGCATGTGCTGGTGAGGTGGGCAGGACCCCAGGAGGGAACAGTCTTCAGATCTGCACCTCACATTCCACCAGAGCCCCACGGCTCTCCACAAATGGGCAGGGAACTGGAACAAGATTGTGCTGGCCTAAGCTGGGTTCCAACCCTGCCACGAAAAAGCAGCTTCACCATGGAAAAAATCACCTGTTTATTTAGACCCAGTCTTCTTGGACAGCTGGAGTCTTTTCCACCTTCGCAACACCACTCTGTACTTCTCGCTCTCGGTCTTCTCCTCAAAGACTTTTTGCAGGACAATCCGCATCACTGTCTCGGTCTCTGCTTCTTTGTCTTCCCCGATGAGGAGATCCAGTGTGTCTCCCACTTTCACCTGCAGAGGTGAAGGACACGGAGCCTCTAGCACCTGCCAGAGAGCCCTGGCCGAGGCATGCACCCTGGTTGGAAGGCCAGCTTGGGAGCCCCACTGCCTGTGGGCCTGTCCCTTCTCTTGAGTGCCTTAGGCATGAAAGGGTCTCCCCCAGACACCAGGGGCTCAGCAGTAGCCTGGTGGCCTGTTGGACAGTCCCTGCGTGGGCAGCTCCACTCCTGCTGCTGGGTAACTGGAAGGAATATGGACATGGATGCATTTACATGGGTAACACTACCTCAAGACAATGTGGGGCATGATGGCAGAGAATGTGCGTACAGTGACTCTACAGACACAGGAAAGATTATTTCCAGCGTGATACTTCTCAAACTGCAGCCCGGAGGATCTACAGACACGGAGATGGGAGCCATGGGTTGGAAAGGAAACAGACTGCCCCAAGTGCCCGCATGATCAAGAAGAAAGACAAGCTTCAACTGGCAAAGGTAAAATACCCCAGGAAAGCAGGAAGAGCTGCAGAGGCACAGAGGTATCTGGCCTAACAGGTAGGATGCCCTTATCTCACCTCTGCTATGACTGCGGGTTCCAGGCTCTGGGGAGCAGCAGTGATGCCTCAATGAGCTGAGACCTGATGCCACATTGTGGCAGACCTGGCTTGGATTCCTGCCCCTTGGCTTAAGCCAGGCCATTGTGGGCATTTGGGAGTGATTAAAAAAAATTTTTTTTTAACTGGAAATGCAGATTTACAAACACAAGGAAAGAGAAAGATCTTCCAACCTCTGGTTCACTCTAAGCCAGAGTTGAGCCAATCCAAAGCCAAGAGCCAGGAGTTTCTTCCAAGTCACCCAGTAGGTACAGGGGCCCAAGGACTCAAGCCATCTTCCACTGCTATCCCAGGTTTTAAGCAGGCAGCTAGATCAAAAGTGGAGCAGCCAGGACACGACCTGACACCTATATGGAATAGCAGGGCTGCAGGCCAACCTTAGCCCACTGTGTGATGGTGCCGGCCCCAGGACGAGCGTATTTTTCAATGACTGTCCTCTGAGGCAGACACGACTTCAGATTGTCCAAACACAGCACCTTACCAAGGCGAGCCTTTATCTGCGCTCTGCCCCCCACACCCTGCCAACGCAGGACCTCTGTAAGCCTGGGGGCTAGTCTACAAGATGGGCACTAGTGCCTGGTGCTGCCACACCATACTGGTTAAACTGGGAAGCCCAGAGTAGCAGGTGGTGAAGCTCAGGCAGGGCAGGTTTTCAGCCAATCCCTCACTCCCCTCCAGGCTGAGGAACAGAAGGCTCACAGCTCCACCAGGCATCATGCCTGCCTCTCCCCTCGGGAGGGGACGTGTGTTTATGTGTGTGTGTGTCGGCAGAGGGTCAGCAGATCTGATGGCTCCAGTGACAACAATGACCACCTCTCACTGCCTCTATGTGCCAGCTCTGGGCACCCTTCTTTATCTCTCCTGCAGTTAACCTAACTTTGCTGAAATTCTTTGATGAATGGTATGTGCCTTTGACACAAGCTTGGGCTACAAAAGGACACAGCCAGAGAATGCAGCCCTTCTCAAGCGCTCTTGTCCTGTGGGTGTCCTGCTGCCTGTCCCTCACAGGCTGGACATGTTGTTGGAGAGCAAACCCCCCACTTCCCAGGCAGACAGGTGTGTGGGTGTGTGTGTGCATGCCTGCCTGCCTTCCAGAGCAGAGGACAGGGGAGGGGCGCTTTCTCACAGGAGTTCAGGGTGACTTCCATCTAGCCAGCCACCCAGCACCTGCTGCACCACAGAAGAGCTCAGCTCACCTGCAGGCAGTCACAGTTGGAGCATCCCAGCAGTGCTGTCCCTCCCAGGCCTGGGCTCTGAGAGCAGGCCAGGCAAGGCACCACATTTTTTATCCCTCTCCCATCCCAATCCCTCCCATGGCCTTCGGCAAACACAAAACCAAACTGGCCGGGATTAGGGGCTGTTCCAAATATCTACATTTCAAATCTGCCTTTAGCTGCAGTTTCCATGGTGACCAGGCCTCCTAGTAACAAGGCAGCTGCTAGGACCAAGTGCTAATGCTGGCCTCCTGCTTGGCTGACCCTCAGGAGACATCTGGGAGGCAGCCGAAGCTGCAGCGCTCCCAAGGCGGAATGAAGCAGCAGCAATTAGGTTGTGCTAATGATGAGATCTCTGGGCGCAGGCTGGTGGGGCTGGTAATGAAGGCTTGAACAGGCAGGCCCCTCAGGGACTCCAGGACAGGTCTGGGTCCTGCAATCCCAGGGCTGCGGGGGAGCAGGGTGGGGCAGTGGTCTGGAAGGAAGAACCAAGGGACAGCATGTGCCTGGAGCAGCCTGGACCGAAATGCAGTGGTGAAGCTGCAGCTCAGCTGCTGTTAGAGAGATGGATTGGGGTGCTGAGACTGGCTTGGGGGTAGGAGGGGGCTTTCCCTTCCTGCTGCTCAGCCAGGTTCTTTCATGATTTTGGAGAGCCCAGCCAGAAGGCAGCCCCAGTGCTCACCCAGACACATGGCTGAGGGCCTCACGGGCCACCCTGTGTCCCAGGGAAGCAGCCTACAGTTCAGGACTTTCAGAGGGTGATGAGACACGAAGCAGATGAAACAGAAGCTACTTCCCAGAGTGGCTCTGACTCCTTGGGAACATCTCTGCCAATGCTGAGGGCTGATATTTCCTGACACTCCTGACTCTCGTGTCTTCCAAAAGTTTTGTTTGTTTATTTCTTAAAGATTTTATTTATTTGAAAGGCAGATTTACAGGGAGAGAAGGGCAGATTTTTTCCATCTACTGGTTCAACCTCCAAATGGCCACAAGGGCCAAAGCTGGGACCATCTGAAGCCAGAGCCTGGAGCTTCTTCTGGGTCTCCCCAAGTGAGTGTAGAGGCCCAAGGATGTGAGCCATCCATCACTTCTTTCCTGGGCCCATTAGCAGGAGCTGGATTGGAAATGGAACAGCCGGGACCTGAATCAGAGCCCATACTGGATGCTGGCACCACAGGAGGAGACTTAACCCACATGCCCCTCTTCCAAGCATTTCATCTTAAAGCACATTAAAATTGTTTGTTTTGTTAACTCTTGGCATTGTTTCTTCCAATTATGGGCATGACCCATTGTCAGGGTAAAAGAAAAAATAAAAAGCATGAAGGAAATTCCTGTAACCCATAATGCCCCACTCAATGATAGCCCCTAGTAATGTTAGTAACATTTCAGTTTCAGGTAAATGCAAATGTTTCTGGAAGCTTTCTCAGAGTGCTTAAGACACTGATGCAAATGCCTGTGTGCCGCACTGGAGTACCTGAGTTCTGTTTATAGCTCCAGCTCCTACTTCCTGCCAGTGCAGATGCTGGGAGGCAGCAGGGATGGCTCAAGCCATTGCTGAGCACTCAGCCAGTGGGAGACTCAGACCAAGTTCCCGGTTCCTGGCATCAGCCTGACCTTCGCTGTTGGGGACATTTGGGAAGTAAACCAGCAGATGGAAGATCTTTGTCCCTTGGTTGTTCTGCTTTTCAAGTAGAGAACAAGCAAATATATAGAAATAACATTTTTCATAGACCTGTCAAAAATACAGACTGTCCTTTCTGACAGTTACAGGTAAGTGCTCTGTGGGTAGTACCAAGGTGAACAGAATGCACAGCTGCTAGCTGGCATGGGTCAAATGTTACTTTACGATCCCACAGCCGATTAACATTAGGAGCCTCGCAGTTTAATGAGTGGAGTTTTGCTGGTCCTGATAGTAGCTAACTATTTTAAAGAAAATGGGCAAACTTTGTCACCAGGTCCTTACGGCTGCATGACACAAAGTGGCCTGTGTGGGTGAGGCTGTCATGGACTCCAGGGGCAGGAATACCCCAAGAGAAGCTAAGGAACCTGAGGGGCAAACTTGGACAATGTTAACTGAGTGCTGGTACAGTGGCAAACAGAAACAGCTGCACGTCACTGCAGGTTTAAGATCTCACCGTTCTGCTTTTCTTCCATAATTTTTCCCCATTCAGTCTGAGTTCACCTTTGTAGAATGCATCTTCCACTTTGCTATTAAAAAAAAAAAACAACAACAAATTGTTTAAAAATACATAGTTACACAAATTTGCACACAACACCTGCCATGAATGTTTATTCTGATGGAGACTCCCAACAAAATCTCCACTTCAGGTGCTGGGAAAATGAAAGCTAACTGCTCCCAACAGGGAGGCCAGTGGGCCTTCCTGATAGCCACTGACCTGCTGTAAAGATGTGCTAGCATATTCATGCCCTTCACTTGATTTTTAAAGATTTATTAATTATTTGAAAGGCAGAGTTAGAGAGGGAAATCTTCCATCTACTGGTTCACTCCCCAAACAGCCTTGACTGGGGCTGGGCCAGGCCAAAGTCAGGAGCCTGGGCCTCCATCTGGGTCTCCCTTGAGGCTGGCAGGGGCTCAGGTACTTGGGCGAGCTTCTGCTGCTTCCCTAGGTGTATCAGCAGGGAGCTGGACTGGAAGATGGAGTAGCTAGCACTTGAACCGGTCCTCATACAGGATGCTGGCATTGCAGGTGGCAACTAACCCAATGTACTACAATGCTGGACTCTGGCTGAGCAGCCCTGGCTGGGGGCTTTCACATCCACATCTGTACAAAGCTCCATTCCACACTGGGGTCTGAGGCTTTCACCGGACCCCCAAGGCAGAACTTCACAGAGAGACTGTGGCTCTGGTGAGTGGCAATGCCCTGCATAAGCATCTCCTGCTCAGACACCTGCTCACCCCACATGCAGGGCGAGCCCATGAAGAGGCCCCCAGCCTGCCCACCCTGAAGCTAGAGTCCAGCTAGTGGAATCTGAATCACTAGGACAAGCAGGCCAGGTGAAGATGCAAATGAGTGATACCTAAGATGTGTACGGCAGCAGCTGCAGGAGTGTGTCCAACTTTCCAGAACATTCAGCAAATCCTGATTGGGATGCCACGAGGGAGCCTGAGGGCTTGGTCATCTTTAATGCGTCTTCTACACTTTATGGATTAAAAATTAAAACTATCCCATTAAATTAGGTCATACAGCTACAGACTACACAGGGAAATCTTTCTAAATGTATTCATACCATATTTCTTACACTATGCACTATGCATGATGTCATTATTCGAATATAATTATTCTAATAGAATGAGAATATTACAGAAACCTTAAAAGTCACATATATGCGAATACACACATTTTTTTTTTGTGATAATCAACATGCATTGCATATATACTGTGTTCCAGGCACAGCTGCTATAGATGGATATTCATTTAACTCTAGCGCTCACCGTTTAAGCTTCTCTCATTTTACATTTCACAGCATTTCAGGAACTTGCACAAGGTCACGGAGAGAAGCAGAATGGAGCCTCCAGTCAGTAGTCTGGCTCCAGAGCCGGCATTCGTAACCAACGTTTTCTATTCCACCAGTTGATTCTCAGCAACAGCTTCCCTCATTGTGGCATTTGTGAAATCCAGGTACGTTTTATGCTTGCTGCTGTTAAATCAATGGCTCATCTTACAGTCAGCTGAGCCTCTGAATCAGGGAAATATGGCATGTGACTTGTTTGGAAATCAGTTTGCTCTCCTATAAAGCTTTATGACTGAAATAATTACTGATAAGGCCCTTTCAGGGTTGGTGTTTGGTGCGGCAGCTGACCCCTGCACTCCCCACTGGAGGGCCTAGCTTCCAAACCCAGCTTCCTGCTAACATGCCCCCTGGGAAACAGCAGGTGACAGCCCAAGTGCCTGGGTCTCTGCCACTCACGTGGGAGACCCAGACTGAGTTCTGGCTTCCTGGCTTTGACCTGGCAATGCTCTGTCTGGTTGTGAACATTTTGGGGGAATGAGCCAGCAGATGGGCGATCTTTCCCTCATTCAAATATATACTAAATCAACTATATATGAAACTAACCAGGGGCTCAGCATGATAGCTTAGTAGCTAAATCCTTGTCTTGCATGCACTATGTTCCCATATGGCGTTGATTCATGTCCCAGCTGCTCCACTTCCCATCCAGCTCCCTGCTTGCAGCTTGGGAAAGCAGTTGAGGATGGCCCAACACCTTGGGACCCTGAACCCACATGGTAGACCCGGAGGAAACACCTGGCTCCTGGCTTTGGATTGGCTCAGCTCCAACCTTTCTCTCTGTCCCTCCTCTTCTCTGTAAATCTGCCTTTCCAATAAAAATAAATAAATCTTAAAATAACCAGATTTTCCCCAATAAAATGCATCTCATACTCACTTCCTGCCGATGTCCAGGCCCGTCTTCAGGATAACATCATAGCGGAAAGACTGCACAGCTTTCTCCAAGTCTTTATAGTCTCTCATCACACTGGGGTCGCCCTCAAGCTCCTCCTGCTGCTCTCTCGGCTCAGCATGGCTACTCTCTTCATCGGAGTCCTCCTCCTCTTCCACTTTCTGCATTACCTTTCTCGAGGATTTCTTCGAGCTTAGATTACTTTTGAGTCTTACAGAGAATGGAAAAATGCATTCTGGAGATAGTGAAAGTCTCGAGAGCCTCAGTGAGAAAATATGACGGAAGAGTGTTTTATAAGTTGACGCACTGAACCGGGTGCTCGAGAAATGCAAGTACTGGCTCCAGGGGGCACAGAGCTGGAGTGACGGAGTTCCTCGGAGCACACCCCAGAGTCCAACCCAGGCATCGGGCTTTCGTAAGACACCTGCCAGTAGCCTGATGCTGGTCATAGCCATGGACCTGGAAGACAGTAATTCAGCATTATGTCACCAAGGAACACACACATGAACATGTGATGTCTCGTACTGTACTGATGATGTCCTATGAAAGGCTCTCTTGGCCTGCACACTCCGAGGACCACGCGGCAGGCCACAGCCAGTCTTCTTCCAAGCTGTAACAATGGGCTGAACTTTGGAGCTTGTGATGATGGGGAGGACATGTAGGGTGGGGTAGTATCTGACGAGATGACAGAATGTATGGAAGCACCTTTCTACTTTTCCGACTGGCCCATGTCAGTTTTGGGTATTAGCTTGCTACTGAAAAACATTAGCAGTGGTTTTCAACGATTTGTTGAGTGAAGAAAATCCCAGGAGAGTGAATGTTTATTGACCTAAGTTACCCAGGTACAATATTGACTTTGCCAAGGAGGAACACCGATGACCACTTCATAAAACGCAGAGCCAACCTGTCAACTCTATTTCAACTTCCAGCCCCCAGCAAGTCAGCTGGGAATGAGCAAATCAAACAGATCTGCACTGTGCCTCCTTTTTCACCTCTGTCCCAAACAGAACAAACTGTCTTATTGTGACAGCGGCACTCCTCCACGAGTACACCCAGTTTTGGTGTGTAATACTGACACAGGTCAATATCCCTGTGCATTAGATTTGTAGGTGATTCTCTTGAGTTTCTTTTGTGCCAAGGTTACATTTCCTCTTTCCCTTTCCTTCCTTTCCCACTGTGCAGAGCTGCATCGTAGTGTACATTTTTTTTCCCCAAGAACTTTTTTGTTGATGCTTAAGTATATATTTATTAAAGAAAAGCTGTGCATACACAGTCATCCACTGATTCACGTAGTCAAAATGGCTGTAACAGCCAGCTCTGGGCCGGGCTGAACCAGAAGCCAGGCATTCCATCTGTCTCCCACATAGTGGCAGGGGCTCCAGCACCTGAGTCATCTTTTGCTGTTTTCCCAGGCCCATTATCAGGAAGCTGGATTAGAAACTTGAACTACAGCACTGTCTCGAGATGCTGGTTATCATAGGAGGTGGTTTAACCCATTGTACCACATCCCTGCCCTGGGACTGATTTCTCTGATACTAATTCTTGGGATTTTTTCCCCCTTCCTTCTTTCCATTAATCACAAAGGTAACAACAGCCATTACCCTATTATTTCACTTGTTCCTGGGATTCCATTCTTAAGTCTGAAATGCGAAATAAAGGAAGTATCATTGAAAAAAAAATTCTGAATCAGGGGCCCAGCGTGGTAGCTTAGTGGCTGGAGTCCTTGCCTCACATGCACCAGGCTCCCATATGGGCGACAGTTCTAATCCTGGCCACCCAGCTTCCCAACCATCTCCCTGCTTGTGGCCTGGGAAAGTAGCTGAGCACAGCCCAAAGCCTTGGGACCCTGCAATTGCATGGGAGACCTGGAAGAGGCTCCTGGCTCCTAGCTTTGGATCGGCTCAGCTCTAGTTGTTGCAGCTGCTTGGGGAGTAGATGGACGGAAGATCTTCCTGTCTCCTCCTCTCTGAATATCTGACTTTCCAATAGAAAATAAACCCTTAAAAAAATTTCTGAATCAGAGAAATGGAAATACAGACATTTCCATTTCCAAGTGAGGGAAATAAGGGGTGGAGAGAGCAGGCAATGTGTGCTCCTATTTGTTGGCTGACTTTCATGCCCACAATGGCATCTGAAAATGCTTCTGTCCTTTTTGGCATGGTCTTCCCTTTGTCCAGATTCCACAAGCCTTATCCTCCTTTTCCACCATCCCTTGCACTGCCCATCCCATCCCAGGTTCCTGTCACTCCAATACCATGTGTCTTTTGTCATTTTCAAATAAGTTCAGGTGGGCTCCCAGATGCTGAGGCAGGGCAGGGGTTGGGCCCAATCCTTCACTCTCAGCCCCTCTGCTCAGTGCATAGGGGTGTCTCTCTCAGTGGTCAGGCTGTTGCATGGGGTACTCACATCCCACATCCAGGGCACCCTGGATTAGGTCATCACTGTCCTCCATAGTTTCCTGTTGATGTGCCTCCTGGAAGGCAGTGAGCAATGGCTCATGTAGCTGGTCCTTCTACCTGCATGGAAGATCTGCTCGGAATCCCAAGCTTCTGGCTTCAGGCTGGCCTGGCTGGAGCTGTCTGGACATTTGGCCAGTGAACTAACAGATGGGAGATCTTGCTCTGACTCTCCATCTTTCAAATGAGAGAAATTAAAAAACATTTTTTAAAACAAACAAAAACAAAACAGGGCCTGGCACAGTAGCTTAGTGGCTAAAGTCCTTGCTTTGCATGTACCTGGATTCCATATGTGCGCTGGTTCTAATTCCAGTGGTCCCAGTTCCCATCCAGCTCCCTGTTTAAGGCCTAGAGAAGCAAAGCCTTGGGACCTTGCACCTGTGTGGGAGACCCGGAAGAGGCTCCAGACTCCTGGCTTCAGATCAGCTCAGCTCTGGCCATTGCGGCTGCTTGGGTAGTGAGTCACAGGATGAAAGATCTTCCTCTCTGTATAACTGACTTTCAAACAAAAATAATAAAATAAATCTTTTTAAAAAACAAAACAAAACCCCTACAACATGTCGATTCCCTATCTGGAAATGAAATGAGCATCCTGCTCACCTCCACATCAACCGCCACCCTCAGCTCTCCACTGATACTCACTCATAGGCCTGGGCAGAAAACAGCCAGTCCTAGCTGAATGCGGCTGGGCCAGTGTAACCCAACAAGTAAGCCAGTTCTCAGAGAAAGTACTTGAAAACAGGTCGAGAGGAGGCTGGATCCCGCCCCAGCTGCAGCAGGTATGCCCAGGCAGGGAGGTCTGATGGCAGAGGTCGTCTGAAGCCCAGCTGTGGGGAGCAGCATTGTTACATCAGCATGCTGTCAATCTGCTCACTCAAAAGCAAGCACCCAGATACAACTCCCAACCCCCTGCAGCCCCTCCAGTTACTTCCAGGCTTGGCTTCTCTTAAAACCCAACTGCTCCAAAATGTTGTTGCCACTCTCATTAATCCTATCATTTTTAAAGATTTATGTATTTTTATTGGTAAGTCAGATTTACATAGAGAAAGATTTTCTGTCTGCTAGTTCACTCCCAGAGCAGTTCCAAGAACCGGAGCCTCTTTGGGGTCTCCCATGCGGATGCAGGGTCCCAAAGCTTTGGGTCTTCCTCTACTGCTTTCCCAGGCCACAAGCAGGGAGCTGGAGGGGAAGTGGGGAAACTGGGACATGAATTGGTGCCCACATGGGATCCCTGGTATGTGCAAGGCAAGGATTTAGCCACCAAGCCATGGTGCTGTGCTTTCTACCATCTCTAGGTCCCTAGCTGGTTCTTTCTGATGTCCTAGCAGCATGGATCAAGAGGACCAAGCCCCTTCTTTGTCACTTGTCACCTGGCCCTTCTGACAACTATGCAGTGGACTTCAGGCTGATTTTCTGTTCTCTTTCTGAACTTCCTCTATTTCCGTGTTTGAGGCAGAGTGCCCACAGGATGAGCCTCCAGTAAAATTCCTAGGCAGTGACTCTAACAAGCTCCCCTGATGCATGGCACCACACACTTTGTTCCTGGATGATTGGATCATGTCCTTGGTGTCTCCAACCGGGGGATGACACTTTGACTGATGCCGGAAGTCCTCAGTCTTGTGCCTCTTTTTCCCTCAGCTGACATTGCTTCAGGTTCTTCTGTCCCAATAAGGCGCAACCACATGACTGGATGCTGAGTCCCATGAATCTGCTTATTGAATCAAATGCACAGACAACTGGTCTCCCACACCACGTGGTCTCCACGTGGTTGCTCCTCAGGCATACCAAATCTAATCCACTCACAGATAAACTCCTGGTGTGACCTCAGCTGCAAACGTGCTGCACTGAACCCACGGCCTCTCCATCATCCCAGCTGCTGGGAAGCCCAGCTGGCAGTCACGCTGGAGCCTTCTCGGGTCTCTGACACACACCATATCAGGAAGTCACACTGGCTGCTTCTGCAGCACAGGTGTGGCATGCCCCTGCTTCTCACCCCTCCCCTGCTGCCCTGTGCCCACTCCCACTGCCCATCGCCAGTAGGGCCAGAGGCTCGCTAGAAGGTTCTCCACTGAGCAAGAATACATTTCTCCTTTTTTTGAGGCATCTTCCATCTATTCCTTCACTTCTCAAATGCCCACAACAGCTAGGGTTGTCAGGTCCGAGCTAGTAGCTAGGGAATTCATGTAGGTCTCCCCTATGGGAGTAACCCAACGACTTGGGCCTTTTTTTTTGCTGCCTTTCAGGATCTGCATTAGCAGGGTGCTGGGACTGGAGCCCAGGGACTTGGATCAAGTACACAGGCATACCAAGTAGCATTAAGCACTGTGCCAAATGCCCACCCAGGAGTGATGCTTTTGTTGTTGTTAAGTATTTATTTTTTTGTTGGGAAGTTAGATATACAGAGAAGAGAAAGAAGAAGATCTTACATCTGATGATTCACTCCCCAAGTGGCCGCAACAGCCGGAGCTGCAATGATCCAAAGGCAGGAGGCTGGAGTTTCTTTCCGGGTCTCCTGCAGGTGCAGGGTCCCAAGGCTTTGGGCCGTCCTTGACTGCTTTCCCAGGTCACAAGCAGGGAGCTGGATGGGAAGCAGGGCTGCCGGGATTAGAACTGATGTCCATATGGGATCCTGGTGTGTGTAAGGTGAGGACTTATGCTGCTATGCTACCGCACAGAGCCCAGGAGTGATACTTTTAAAGATTCGTTTTATTTGACCTGGTGTGAAGCCTAGTGCTAAATCCTCACCTTGGACACACTGGGATCTCATATGGGTGCTGGTTTGTATCCCAGCTGCTCCACTTCCCATCCAGTTCCCTGCTTGTGGCCTGGGAAAGCAGCCGAGGACGGCCCAAAGCCTTGGGACCCTGCAACCATGTGAGAGACCCAGAAGGGCTCCTGGCTCTTGATCTGTTCAGTGGTGGCCACTGCGGCCACTTGGCAGGGGAGTGCAGAGGAGTGCTGGGGAAGGGGAGAGCCAGCAAATGTAAAATCTTTCTTCCTGCATCTCCTTCTGTATGTATGTCTTTCCAACTAAAACAATTAAATACATCTTTAATGGTTTTTTTTTTTTTTCATTTTATTTATCGCAAAGAGTGACCAAGAGAGAGAGAGCTCTTTAGTAGCCATGGCTAAGCCAGGCTGAAGCCAGGCATTTGGGACTCTGCCCAGGTCTCTCTGTGGGTGGTAGGAACCCAAGCACCCAGGCCATCTTCCTCTGGTTTCCTAGGCACGTGAGTAGGGAACCATATCAGAAATGGAGCAGCCAGGACTTGAAGCTCAAGCCCTGTAATGGGATGCCAGCTTAGCAAAGTAGCATCTGAACTCAATGCAGGCCCCTCCGTGAGATCCTTTTCAAAACGTCACACCAAGTCCCTGTGTCCCTAGGGCCCCTTCCAGTCCACGGGCTCTGGGTGATCCGACTCAGCACCTGGCAAGCTGGCATTCCTCAGACCTGTGGCACACGCTAGACTCATAGCTTGCTTAGTCCGTTTTCCATTGCTGGGATGGAATATACCACAGGTGGGATAATTTACAAATAACACAGGTTTATTCAGCTCATGGTCCTGGAGCTGGAGAAGCTGGAGAGAAGGCAGTGGCATGAGGCGAGGGCTTTTTTGCTCTACCTTAATACACAGTACCATAGCAAGGCAGGGCAAGTATAATTAGCCCACTGCCTTGCTAACCCAGTGACCTGTGGATGCAGGCGTCCACCTGTGAGTAGAGCCTTCCCGACCCAGTCGCCTTTCAAGGAGTGC